TGTTGTTGTGTTCTCTGAGCTAGATGAATAGTTAATTTTACGGAGCTTTCATTTTTTTTTACGAGTTGATCACAGACTGATATCAGCTAGAGAACCATTGAAAACCAACCACAGGGAGTACTGGACAGTTGTTTCCTCCGTCCTAGTTTGGGAATCATCGTCTCTACGCACCCACCACAAGGGGTCGAACCCAGAACCATCCAGTTAGTTACAAGGCAAGCTAGCTCGTATACCATTCACTCACTGGGACCCGATTCAATGGCCAGCCAACCCATGAATTCTAACTTCTACGAATTCGTGATTTAGCGCGACCCCAACCATTGTCGTTGGTGGGACATCCATCCACACACGTGACATCTAATTGGACCTCACTGGTCACGACTTCTCACTAGAACTCCTGGAAACTCCATCCTGTAGGAATTCACTAGCGAGCATCAGATTAATATTCTATAGTTTGGTTTGTAAGGGTTAGTTTTGTTTTTACGTTTTGATCACGGATTGATATCAGTTAGAGAACCATTGAAAACCAACCACAGGGATTAATGGACAACTGTTTCATCCTAGTGTGAGAATCATCGGCAGTACGCATCCACTGATATCAATCTGTGATCAACTTGTAAAAACAAAACTAATCCTTACAAACCAAACTATAGAAGCTTTCATTGCCCCAACACCAGGCAATATCTTCAGTGCATACACTTCAATTTGAATTGAAGTGAGCTTTTAGATTTCTCCACCTTAGCTGCAAATCTTCTCCAGCATACTTTGAAGGTGTATGTTAAACAGTAAACATTCTGAATCATCAGTCTGTACAATGAAGAGGGTATGTTATCAATTAGTCGACCATTGTGTGTGTGTGTGTGTGTGTGTGTATGAAATTTCACTTTTTTCCTATTGAAAATTAACATGTTTCTCTGCAGGAACAGGTAATGGCACTGGATGGAATTATTATTGTTATATCCTTTAATTCCTAGAGGAACATAGGGCTTCAGCCGCGCGTCTCCATTGCGTTCGGTTCTCTGCCAACGTGGCTCCAAGTCTGGCCACATGCTTTCGTCTCCTCCTGACACGACCTCCTCCAAGTCACCCTTGCACTGACAACCAACTCGCCGCTTCCCTTTCGGCCTCGTTACACTCGAGCAATGGCCTGTCGTGTGATGTCACTTGATGGTTTCCTCAGAGTATGGCCAATCCATCTCCATTTCTTCCTCCCTATTTGTTTTACAATCGGTTCCCACTGGTTGGTTCACTCATTACCAGAGATCCCGGTTGCTGATCTTTTCTGGCTGGCCATCTGATCTTGAGTAGTATTGAGCGAAGACAACTGTTAATGAAGGTCTGTAGTTTGTTTGACATGCTCTTTATGACGCGCAGTCAAGTGTCTGATCCGTATAGTAGCACTGACTGACTTCACATTGGAGTTGAAAATCCGGATTTTATTTTTCATGCTGAGTGCTGTATCGGTTTATCACAAACTGTTGAAAGTTGAAAATTATTGATTTGCTCAATTACAAGGAACTTGATGGTTGAATGATGATGATAATAATAAATTGCTTGACTTTCAGCTTAATGATTATAGGATTGTTCCCTGATGTATGATATATATAACAGGTGACTGGACTACCACTTGCATGTATTTCCATGTAGATGGCAATGAACCAGACGTAACCAGACTTCTCAAACCTCAGTAGGCGGAGTGAAGTTTGAGTCTGTGACCTACTACTGACTGGAAGTTGTGTACCTGGACCACTGAGCTACAACTCTCTTCCTCGTGATTTGTTAATGTTGAATACACACATTACTGTAACCAGTTATTGATTTCATGCCTTCACAGTTTTCACCGATTTCTGATGAAATCCCTTAATCCTCGCTAACCGAAATATCTAAACATTTAGAATGGATACCAAGTACTAACTAGTCTCATGCGTTTATTTCTATGTTTGATACAGACTGATTTCTATCAGTCAAGTTTACGATGTGTCCAGCATGCTGTTGTAGCTCACTATCATGATATACTCTGAATTGTTGTCATTAAATGGTTGAAGGCAGTCGGCTTCAGGAAGCCTTGCCTTGAGGTTTGGCGTACCTACACTCTTAAAAGGACTCATGCCCCTTCTGAGGTTCGAACCCGTGTCAGCCAGTTCTGCAATCAGATATGTTACCACTGTTCTAATCAGGTTTGTGATTGACTTCCCATAGAATTGATTGATTGATTGACACTAGTTAAGTTTCACCTTATGGTTACAAGGCGAACTCGTGGATCTATGAATTCTAACTTCTGCCAATTCACGACATAGCGTGACCATTTCGCAATGTCTTCTTCAATGAGTTACTGCCTCATCTTCAACCTGCTGTGGGTGCGTACTGGTGAAGAGTTCCAAACTAGGACGAGATAGCTTTCCAGTACTCCCTGCAGGTTTTCCAGTGGTTCTCTAACTGAGGTTAGTTCATGATGAAATCCTCCGACCAATCAAACAATATCCCTACAAAATCAATACTCGAAAAGATATAATATATTGATCTATATGCCTCTCTCGCTGTTTATGGGTCCGATGCATATAAGCCTGTATACACATTAAATACACAGCAGAAACAATTATCAGTTGACTAGAGCTCATATGTCTAAATATTTATTACTGTCTTTGTGTATATGGTAGGGCTTATTTATTTATTTTTTTTAAACACGTTTCAACTCTAAGTGTCGTTTCAGGTGAAACGTGTGTACACAAACACACACACACATTATTATTATTGCTATTACTTTTCATCGTATACAAACACACAGTCATAATGTTTAGATGGTCTTTAAGGCTAATCAGATGATTTTTGCTGTTTGTACATGTATTAGTGTAAGTCTCTGTATGTGTGTGTGTGCATGTGCGTGAGTGCAGCGATAATGTCTGTGCCCACCGATAAATGTGACAAAATGTTTGAAAAGCATTGTTTATTGATATTTATTCTGGATATATATAATTTCCTATAGTATACGAGCTAGCTCGCCTTGTAACCGGAAGGTCCTGGATTCGAATTCCCCCTGTTGGGTGGGTGCGTAGCGGCGATGATTCCCAAACTAGGACGGAGGAAACAGCTGTCGAGTACTCCCTGTAGTTGGCTCTCGGTGGTTCTTAACTGATATCAATCCGTGATCAACTCGGAAAAATATATATACTTACAACTTTGAGAGAGATAGAGGTGTAGGTGAAGGAGGATAAGTAGTTGGGTGAAACTACTACTACGACGATGATGACGATTACCACTGTTATGCTTAAGGATTGTGGTAACACTTGGGCTAAATGGCTATCGTGGTGAATATAGTAAGACGTACTAAATGAAGAATTCATTGAATATGTCAGTGATTGAATGATCTGTGAGCGCTAGCTGCTGCTCACCTTGATGTAACCTGAAGCTCTTAGGTGTACGATCCTTAGTTGGGTATGATGGGTGAATACTACTGAAGAAGAGTGTCAAACTAGGACGAAACGGCTATTGTCCAGTACACCTTGTGGCTTGTTTTCAATCGTTCTCTAACGGAAGTCATATGGTGATACAATAATATAGAACTAGATATCACAGTCAAATGGCCTTGAACCAGTCAGTCATGTGCTCCAAGATAAAAAGCAGCATTCACAGTATAAAAATTTATGTACAACAAAAACGAATTAGATACGGAGCATGTGTGTAATATAATATGCTACAGAAAGAGGTTTTAGTTTCTTATAGGGAGTGAATATAGTAAACAAACCGGAATCTGTATGAGTACCAGTTATAGGATCCACTTACTCTGATGAATGATGAATATAGCCATAATAATGCGTCGGTGGCACATTGGTTAGGACTCTCACCGACCATGCGCATGGTTCGAGGTTCGATCCCCTACCGACGCACACCTGATATCTATGGTCGGCCTGCAAAATTTGGGCTACTGATATCACATGCTGAAAATTGCATACTTGTACAAAAATTACAGTGTGGAATCAAGCTGTAATCAAAATCAAATCAAATTCACATTGCTCAGCATTTCAAATGGATGTTGCAACTTTCACCCCTACCTTAATTTTCTACCCTACCGTAACTTACCGGACAAATACTAATTGATGAGATTGATTGGTTAGTGGTCGAGGTGGTAATCTCCACTGTGTCTAAATATAATCTTGTGGACCTTAAAATCACTTAAATGGTAACATCACCGGGTGAAATCAATTCTAAGGGAGGTAACGATGGTCGAATCCATTGCTCAGAGAGTCCAAGTTTCACAGACTTAGCCGAAGACTATGTCTAACCTGACCTTTGACAGGCAGAATGACGTGACAACGGCACTAGAGATGGCAAAATTTAGCGTATGTTATCGTGGCTTTCACTATATGGTTGTAAGTTTCATCCGTCACACCTCTATCAGCAGTCACGCACACCTCACCTGCAACGGTGAGTACACCTATAAGCTCCTGCTGTTCTTGTAAGTTTACTTTGTAATTAGACGGAGCAAAGTACATACCATACTCATAGACACTAACCATCAAGTGATTGATAGACTGCGATTTTAAAGAGCCTGCATGTTATGAAATCTTCGGCATACTCAAGCTCCAAAAGTCTTTTTTCTAGGAAGCAGATCTATGAAAATAGTCAATCACTAAATATAGATTTGAAGATGAGGCAGTAACTCATTGAAGAAGACACTGAGAAATGGTCGTGCTATGTCATGAGTTGGCTGAAGTTAGAATTCATGGGTTGGCCATTGAATCAGGTCTCAGTGGTTGAATGGTCTACGAGCTCGGTGGCCTTGTAACCAGAAGGTCTTGTGTTCGGACCCTGGTGGTTGGTGCGTACTACCGAAGAGTTCCAAACTAGGACGAGACAGCTATCCAGTACTCCCTGCAGGTTTTCCAGTAGTTCTCTAACTGATGTCAGCTCATGATGAAATCCTCTACCCAAATATGGATTTATTATAAGAACAGAATATATTCTGATAATCTATTTAATGTATTTATCCTACTAACTTTCAGGTGATATTGACGATGAAGATGAGATTGCTGTCTCAGAAGATCCAATCTATTCAACAGATTCTATTATGACATTGAATTTAAAAGTGAGTTAAGTTTTCAAGCTACCTACCTAACCATCTTTTATTTTTGTCGCTTTATATTAATAATAATAAAAATAATTTTTCCTTCACGTTCCCAGTGGAACATAAGGCTTCAGCTAGTGGCTTGAAGTTTCTGTAGCAGTGTTTATATTTTACAGGTTTCTAGCCTCATACCCAACCTTTCCTCTGGCTTAGCGAGGTAAAGGAGTGCGTCTGTGGCCGGGGATCGAACCTCGGACCATGTTCATGGTTGGCGAGCGTCCTAACCGCTATGCTACCGACGCCTGCTTTATATTGAGTTAGCATTATTTATTTGAAGCCGATTGAAGGTATTCTTCCTCTCTTTCCCTCTCTCTCTCTCTCTTTGTATTGGTGAACCCATCTTGATTATCTGAGTAGTGGTCGTGCCTACTATTTGTTCTTTGTAGTGTGTGGAGTGTGTGAATATATTGACTTTAGAACATGTCTTTGAAATCGTACTTCATCTACTTAAAAATCTGGGCAGTTGACTGGGGGTAGTATCTTTCGTCTTAACAGGGTAAGTATATTTAATTGAATTTTAGATTTTCCCGTCGATTGATTGGACCGAAGAGCCAGGCCTCAGGTTGACATGTTGGCTTCTCGTACAGATGCTTCGACGATATCTGGGCATTTAGATAGAATTTCAGTGGATAACGCTTTGGCATTTGAAACTATGGGCACTGGGTTCGAGCCTCAGTGGGGAAATCATCACTCACTGGAAATGCAGGTACATCCAGCTGACAAGTTCCAAATAGGACGAAGTGCGCATCCTGGCTGGATTCCACTGCTAGTCACCATCCACCAATTAACTTCTAACTACATGGCCAGACATCGTCGAAGCATCTGCACAAGAAGCCAACAGATATGTCAACCTGAAACTGAGCACTTTAGTCCAATCAGTCGACGAGAAAATCTAAAATTCACTTAAATTAACATGACCCGTTGCACAAGAGGTGGCTAGCTGTTATGGCCCAAGTGGTCTAGTGCATAACAGTTTGGCGTTTGAAACTATGGTCACCGGGTTTGAGACTCGGTGGGAACATGATCACTCACTGGGGAGTGATACTACTGGCAGGTGCATCCAGATGACGAGTCCCAAATCGGACGAAATGCGCGTTATCCTGGATTCCACTGCTAGTCACCATCCACCAATTAAAAAAGGGTAAGTATAGTTCGTAGCCTACACTGATATGTGGGAAAAGAATTTCCTCGAGTAATGAAGTTTTAATTAACATAACATAGATTGTTATTCTGCGTAGAAACATTGTGTAGGTAGAACCTTTCGTCTTGAAATCTCGTGAATTGAAAGACAGGTGATATTATCAATACAAGATCTGGCAATTAATATACTGGGATTTAATATCTCATATCTGCATATGAATTTTATCAGGACTATATTAGAAGGGAGAAATTATAAAGTTGAAGTCAGCGAAGAAAATCCTCTTTTGCAATGACTTGTTTTGTGTGTGTGTGTGTGGAAATATTGAAATGTAATAATATTGATTGTAGATGATTGATTATGAATCACAAATTGACCAGAAATATAAATGAATGAATGTATGAACAAAGACAGGTGAACACACAAATTCCAATAGGGATTAGATGTGGAAAATAAGATTGGATAATGAGAAAGACAACGGGCAATGAGGAAACAGGCATAAAATGGACTCACACAAAAACTTGAAGGATCTGGACTACGCCGATGATGGGAGAAACCTGAAAGAAACAACCTTCTTCACCTACCGACATGGGAAGCATCGTTTCAACTACAAGTGGAACTGACGAGGATATCAAAGCCAGAATCGGAAAAGCAAGACAAGCTTTCATTACTCTTAAGTCTGTGTGGAGGTCAACAGCACTCATCATCAAAAATAACCTGCAGATTTTCAACTCCAATGTGAAGTCAGTCAGTGCTACTATACGGATCAAAGACTTGGCGCGCCATAAAGAGCATGTCAAACAAACTACAGACCTTCATTAACAGTTGTCTTCGCTCAATACTACTCAAGATCAGATGGCCGGCCAGAAAAGATCAGCAACAGGGATCTCTGGTAATGAGTGAACCAACCAGTGGGAACCGATTGTGAAGCAAATAGACAGGAAGAAATGGAGATGGATTGGCCATACTCTGAGGAAACCATCAAGTGACATCACACGACAGGCCATTGCTCGAGTGGAACGAGGCCGAAAGGGAAGCGGCGAGTTGGTTGTCAGTGCAAGGGTGACTTGGAGGAGGTCATGTCAGGAGGAGACGAAAGCATGTGGCCAGACTTGGAGCCACGTTGGCAGAGAACCGAACGCAATGGAGACGTGGGGCTGAAGCCCTATGTTCCTCTAGGAATTAAAGGATAAAATAATAATAATAATATTCATAAAATAGAAATAATCTCGGTTGATAGATTTTCATCACAGACTAACATTAATTAGAGATAGATCATTAAAAATTTTGGTAACACTGGATAGATGTTTCGTCCTATGTTGGGACTTTTCATTTATGCATACCTACAATTCTAATCATCAAGGATCGAAGGCTTTTTTTGGAAAAATTGACAGTCTGTTTGCATTACTGGACTACCTAATTATCTCAGTGTCTTAACTATTCAGTTATGTTGTTGAGTCGCAAAATGTTCTCCTCATGCACATTTTCAATTGGCTTTCAAATTACCGGTGCGCATTTCACAGAGACGAAGGATAAATACCATAAGAGATTAGTCTCCTGCTTCACATTTTAAAATGTTACATCACATGATGTAGTAAAGACTGTTACACTTTACTTGAAGATTCTGGTTGGAATGGAAATATTATGCAATAAATTAAGCTGAGAATCTCTGTACACTATGTGTAAATATTTATTTATTTATTTAAAAACCAAGCAACTTTAGGTTACAAAACCAAACTAGTTGACTATTCGGTTGGTTGGGCTAGAATTCACTGACCCCCTGAATTCTAATTTTTGTCAATTTGGTGATATGGTGCTACCCTCAACCGATGCGCTTTGACTGACATTGGATTGGGTGTGCATTGGTCGGTCATGACTTCTCAGTAGAGCTTTCCAACATCCAACATCAGTGAGCTAGAGATTGATATATAAATATAGATAGATTATGGGATTTGTGTGAGGATTTAGATTAATTTAAATTTCACCTGTTAGAATTCATCATGAACAAACACGTCAGCTAGGGAGAGAGCATTAAAATCTCAGAAATCCCATAAAATAAAATAAAATAAATAAATAAAAAGTAGAATTCAAGTGTTGGTTTTGCAAGGATTTGATTGATTAGTTACAGGATTTCATCATTGGTTAGAGAACCATTGGAGACCGCCAGGTGGTACTCCTGGACAACAGCTGTTTAGTCCTTGTTTGGGACTCTTCTGAGTACACACCCACCACAAGGGACTCGAACCCGTGAAATGGTAGAAGTTGGAATTCATGGGCGGCCAGTGACTACTGAATAGTCTACGAGCTCACCTTGTAACCTAATGTCCGGAGTTTGAACCTTGTTGGCGGGTGCGTAGTTCTGAAGAGTCTCAAATTAGGACAAAACCACTGTCCAGTACACACCCTGCTGGTTTCCAATGGTCCTCTAGCCGTTTTCAGCTCATAGTGAAATCTTGTAAAACATAAGAAACTAAAAACGCTTAGTAAAATAAGACAGGAAAAAAGTGAAACAATATGATGGGATAAAGAAGTTTTATGAGTATGTATCACATGATAAAATGAAATCCAATTTACGTTACAACATAGGAAGAGATAACAAAATCTCCTCATTTTTCTCTCTTGATAAATGTCGTTGAAAAGATAAATTTCTAGCAACAACAAAAAATTTGATATGGGCGGGGTTAATTGCTACACAGTGTTTTATTCCCATGGACAGAATAGAGGAATTCAATCGATTCTCTGTCCACACCATTATATCCAAAGTATTGGAACTGAATGCAGACAGTTTTGTTGAAGAACGTAGACAACTTAAATAAATGTGTTTGTAGTAAATGATTGTGATTATTCAATACGGTCTTTTTTGAAGTTAATAGTAACGTTGCAGCTATATATGAAAGAAAACCTCGCCTAATTAACTAGCTCACTAGTTTTCTAACCGGTCCCCAAGCCCCAAATAAAGAGGGAGGGTTGGATGAGGGGCTAGCAACCCTATCCCACAAAAGCTACCGAACAGCCACAGAAACTTCACCGCACAAGAAAATTATTAAAAATACAAAAAAATATTAAATCCAAACTTATTCTTCGCTGGAATCAGAGAGGCGAAATGATCAGGCGGGAAGCCAATCAACCGATGTATCTTCTGTTGATGAAAGCAAGAATAAGAATGGGTCAGAAAATTGGTCAGTACGTCATGAGAAGGATTTCCAACATGTTAGAGACATTTGTCAACAGCTGCCCACTTTACTAGCTCCATACAGAGGAACAAATGGCCAGCCAGCCAACCGGCCAGGAAGAATTACCAACAAGAAACTCTGACTGGGAAAAAACCAACCAAGAGTCGTTTTGTCAACAAATACGTAGGAGAAAAGGGAGGTGGATGAGGTATCCGTTGGCGATACAGTCGAATGACATCGCTCTTAATGCAGTCGATTGCTCGAGTGGAATCTCAACGGGATGCGGTTACAAGTGGGTGGTGAGTGCGAGGTTGACACGGAGGATATCATGTGACGAGGTTGAGATGGGAGATTACAGGCAGTCGTGCAGTTAGCCAACTGAAGAGGACAGCGGAGAATAGAACAAAGTGGAGATGTGTTGTTGAAGCTCTATTTTCGACTCCGAACCCAAGGGGATACTACTACTACTAATAATAATAATGATAATAATCTATGAAAGAAAAAACTAGATAAGATACCTAAGAAAGTGTCGTACTCAAACGTAGAATTTAGGTGAAGACATTGCGAATGAATTTTGTAAAACCCGGTTGATGAGGAAAATACTTTTCTGGCCAAGTCCTCAGCCAAGAAAATACATTGCACTGATTAAG